ATGAACAGTTTGGATATGGTCTGTTGTACTGACACATCTTCTCAATCCGGCTTGTTCAATAGGTTAGTAGAAATACAGTCTACTACTCAGACCGTTCGTTATATTTTTTATGAACAGTTTGTAAAACACGGACAGCAGGCTGATAGATCTGTAATTGTTAATGTCTCTACAGTCGCCTTTTTTGTACACAAGGATCACTCCTTCATTTCTCCAATAATCAGGAATCTCATCCTCTTTATGAGATCTTTTTAAGAGAACGATTATTGCTTTCTTAAGCGCTTCACCTCTCGCCTTTAGCATCTCAAATGTTACCCGGTTCTCTCTCGGAGCTCTGCGATTCTTCATTTGCTTTAGGGCTGATCTCAATTCTGATGCATTTATTACTGGCATGTCTTCGGAACCTTCATTTGTAACTCTTTCTCTTGGATTTGCTGGATTTGGAACCAATTGGCTATACAGGTGCAGAGATAAAAGTTATGAATGATGTGTTTTATTATAGGAATTAATAGCTTTTCCCTTGACCTTTTGGATCGCAAGGCCCTCATGTTCATGCTACTCTCAATCGTGTCTTGTATTAATAGGGTATTAAACTGTCTTAAATCCTTGCGTCTTGCGTTTTTCACTCTTTTACTGAGCTGTGCGTATAATTGTGAAAGCCTATCTGTTTGACGCCATTCCTTGAAAATGTCAGCTGTGTTGGTGCTGATTTTTTTAATGTTTAGTTTGTTTCTTTGTAAAGTTGACTTCTTTAATTGAAATTTTGATACTTTTTGGTAATGTTCCCATCTATTTCGTTAATTTCTAAGTTTTGCAAGAGTTCTGTTCGTTTTAACTTCTTTTTACGCTCTCTCCTATACTTTTATGTATATATACTCCTATACTCTTTATGTTTCCTCAGTTAGTCTACAGTCGGTGTCAGCATTTTTCCCAACAGTTTTTTTCGTTCGACTTGGATGTTGATGATGATGATCACTGCCCGTATAAAAACGCTTTAAAACGGCTACGTCGTCACAAATTTGTTTCTTTTTTGGAGACAAGTATTAGCATAGTGAGCTAAATATATTTGAGTTCCCACAAGGGTTCACCACAGGGGACACGATCGTCGTAACACAAGGTATTGACCAAAACTGTTTCGATTAGAGAACGGACGTGTTTCGCGTCTGTTTCACCCCCTAAGAAATAGCTGTGGATCGTGGACAACACTGGAGACTCATGCCGCTACTCTTGCTATCCGGTGCATCGGGAACCCGTACTGGAAGCAACATGCTTAAGTGAAACCAGAAAATATTTAAAAGTCAGGAGGAGAGCGAGGCAGGCGTGTCTGCTGTCTTTACTCTTAGTCAACCTCTATTCTAAGGTAACTTTTTAAGATGCTTTGGAGGACGCAGAAATGGGCATTATAGTTGATAAAGTATGGATTAACAACACGTTACCGTATGCCTTATGTATGCCGACGATACTTTCTTGATAGCCAAGAATGTAGACGATCTACAACGAATAGTAAATATAGTGGAGGAGAACACAGTAAATCCATAGGCCTGAAAACTAATGCCAAAAATACAAAATTCAGTTGCAGACGCCTGGCAATGATAACTCGAAAACTATATAAAATAATTTGGGGCAGTACCCTTTGCAAGAGTGGGTAAATTTAAATATCTGGGAATATGGCTTTTTGAAGATTTGACAAGGGACAAAGAAGTAAAGCGCCATATTGAGCAAGCACGATTCTTGAGGTTGAGAAGTGTGCTTTCCTGCTCGGACTTTGATATCGACATCAGGATAAGATTAATGGAATGCCTTGTCTGGTCGGTGCATCTCCATGACGTGGAGAGTGGGACCATGAAGACAAGAAGTTTCAGCAAACTGGAGGTCTTCGAGATGTGGCCGTGCCTCGAAATTTACCATAAGAAAGGCGGCGTAGTTAAGATCACTTCCTTGGAAAGGGAGTTTTTAACACAATTTTATTTTGATTGATATGGATTTCAGCTTCAAGATACAACTGTTCGTTATTACAGGCTTGTGAGAATATATACTGAATTAATGCGGATGAGTTTACATGCTATTTGTGAAACTAAAGAACATTATGTGCCTCGTAAGCATAGTTAGATATTTCAATATGCTTAGCTGCGAAATAGAATATCATGAATTTGTGAAGTTGGCTAAATAGGATATCATAACTGCGTACCCTATTATGCGAACCCCAAAGTAATGAGCTCTTACAGTTTAATAAGTTATCAGTTAAAGTGTTCAAAACGTTTTCCAATGAAAGTAGCATTAATTTTTATCTAATGAAAAACTCAATATTCGTTTCTTGTACAATGAAAATTTTTCAGTCCATTGCCTTTAGGTGGCATAGTAGGCAAAATACCTTCTTGGCTTTCAAAACGAACTAAATTCGCACTGATTTCTATGCAGAGAGAGAAAACAATTTCCCGCCGGTTATTACATTGCTGGATTCTAAACTAGATATATATTCAAAGCAGCTCAGTACATTTTGCCGAAATACGTATAATATTCTTTAAATTTAGAAAGACAACTGTTGTTGATAATTTTGTATTGAAGCGATATTATGCACGCTTCTATAACCATATCGGTGTCATAACTAATATTCCGGTCTTTTTTTTAAATCTGTTTCCGTAGTTGAATACATCTTTACTGGTTAGATCAAATGACAATTCGTCAACACATACAAATCTATTATGTCGAGGAGAACCACCATAAATATCTTTTGAATTTGAAAATGCTAAAAATGTAAAACGATACGTTCACTGAGAGTAAGAATTCTCACATATTAAGTTTAATTTAGGCAAACAGTCAGAGCTACTCCCCAACTACCATCACATTGAAATTTTAAAACGGAATTATGGACCATTTTCGAGTGAAACATAATTTTAAAGAACTTACATTTCCTATCCAACCATGTGGGTAGAAATAAAATCGGACGATCCGCTCGAAATTAAAAAAATGTGGCACGTTAAGACGATTTATTTTGAAAATTTGTGGAATTGACGATTTTAATATATTTTGTGAATCTCTCGTAATAATCGAATTTTTCAGTTCTTGCATACTACATATTAAGGGGTTTTGTAAACAATAGTTTGCACGCGAGAACAAGACACATAGAGTCAGATCTGGAAACTCTGATGGCCTTTGCCTCTAATCTCTGCTCTCTCTTGCTACCAATCCGTTTGGCTATTTCGCTAAATTTATTCAAACATCTGGGTCCTTATTTTTCGGAAAATATAATAGAGCCACTTTAGTTCTTCTACTCTAATATTTAGAAAATCGAATGAATAAAAATGGGAATATGCTACTTGCTGAAGAAAATCGGCAATACTGTAAGCTCCGCTTTGTTTTGATTTACAAGTTAGATCAATTGAATCGAGAAATCAATAAATTACCACATATTTTGTATATTAATATGTCTGCCTTGGCACGACACATTTTCGCTTCTTCCTCTAGACCCAACCAAGTGATTTTCTCTATTTGGCTAATCATAAAAAATGTAATTTTCTTCTATTTAAAATTATGTGCCGCTCGGTCGGGAGGGCGATTTCACATTTAAGTTTGAATTAAATTAAATATATGATCTTCTCTACTTAAATTGACGAAGCTTTTTAGTTTTTGTTCTTAAAATTTCAAAGATATTTAATTTGGTTCGTTTCGACAGGAAACAGGGATATTCGGGGTGATTCAAAATTGGCGTAATTTCTTTTAAGGATTTAACGAGGTTCACTTGGAGAGTGCGATATTTTTATGGAAAATATTAACAGTTGAAAATAGAATTTCAACTATTATATTGAAGTGGTCCCATGTTTGACTGGTATCCTATTGGAATACTCAAGCATTCCAAAAGAAAAAAAATAGATTACTAGCTCAAATTTTGGAAAATTTTTACTTTAGAAAAGTACTCTCGTATAATTTTTTTCTGAAAATTCAAAGCGGCAATGATGCTTTTGGTCATTATCGGGTAGTTGCAGGTAGATTGCTTTTGTCAAGGATAACAAGCATTTCTCCAATTGTGGCTTAGTTTGAAGCTTCGTTCACAAAATGTACACCAATATAGAATATGCTATGAGTTAAGAGCGAATGCCACAGTAACATGGCAGGAGGTGTACATGCTTACACAACAAAGAGGGCGATTGGCAACAAGAATTGAAGTAGATAGTGGAGTACCAAGAGGTGTTCGGGTTGCAGACATAAAACTGGACAATATTGTGTGTTAGCTTCAAAAGAAGTAAGTGAGTTATATAATTGTAATGATATAAAAGTTTACAGAAAACTGTCGAAAAATATTTGCAGAAATAATAGTTTTACAATGGACAAAATCGCTCATCGTAAATATAAATCAGAGAAGGTTTTAGAAAATATCTCTAGGTATGTATGTTTCAAAATTTCTATCGGAAATTAAAATAATATTGTGTAAAATATTCATCAAAATTTCATGGAATGTGGTTAAGCTTGAACTTTATAAACGAATACCTATATCACATACATCTGCTTAAAATCAATTCCTAATAAATGGAATACAAACCTAATATTCATTCACTGCTTTACACGCATTGAAATAAGGGGGATGATCCATCATATCAAGTCTATTATCCTGAATACAAACAGAGCGACAGAAGCTGAAATGATTTTCGTATGGTGCAAAATGATGCCTTGTTCTCAGATGGATGTGTTTCTATTGTGTGTGCTTAGCAAATATGTTTAATATACGCATAACTTGGTAAATGGATTTTCCTATATCCGAATTCATCCCAACTTAGTAAAACTTTTTGAAGGATATTGGGATCATTTATTTCCCGAAGCACACCTCAAAAATAAGCATTTGAATGTTTTATTAATTACAAAAATTGTACACTCAGCTAGTTACCTGTCTATCATTTTATCGGTGTTCATCCGATTTATTTTGATTACATTTTGCCTTAATATATACCTCATACGAGTAAATATGTAAATATTTCCGAAGCCTAGTTTTACAAAAATTTGCTACTTACCGGTGGATTTGTTAAAATAAGTATAGCGGAGTTGAGGTGTTTCAGATTCAAAGTATTTTTATCTTCCTCCTCTTCTTCGATGGGGATCTGCAGGGAGCCTTGTCTGGTGGTTAATGCCCTTTTGAATGGGGCTTTGCCACTACTTTTACAGCTTTGTAGTTGCTGAAATGGACAAGCCATTTTAACTTTTTTCCCGAGCCGCTATTCCCAATATGTAGACTATTATATAGATAGTTCAGCGTTTATCCATCACTTTGCTTTGATCTGAAAATCGAAAAATAATTCAATTTAGTGCTAATTTAACTTGGGCCTAACCAACTATCAGCTGATGGCTATGATCTCATTAATGAGTTACATCAGTGGTTTGTAATGCAAGCAATGTATACATTGAAGCAAAATAGTTCAAAGCAAATTAACTTAGGCTTTGGAGTTGAAATAAGCCGCGGAGGGAGATTTAAAAAATTGGGATAGTTAAAGCTCATGATAGGATAGAGTACTTTAAAAGTTTAAATATAGTTTTTGAAATTTGAAAACTTGCAGCAATCAGTCTGCAAAACATTATAAAAAAATGAATGGGCTAATTTTGAATTGGCCTTGTTGCACTCGCAAATGCTCTTTTCCTCATTACCATTCCGCGAATGATGGAGGTCAACTGACAAAGGAAACATTTCTAATTCCAATCAGTAGGCAAAAATTTAAAGTTTCAAGAATTCGATTGATAATAGTTGCCAAATTGATCACCAAATTGTTTAACGTAATTCTATAACCTTTATTTGCAACAACAGTTTTAATTTTACTGGGGAATTTTTGGATTTCGTATCGCGGATTTATGTCAAAGAGAACCACAAAAATTTGTGTCCTTTTTCCTTGTAATAAACAGCCTACCGAGTATTTTTCACGTTTTTCGTGTAGAATATTGCATCTAATTAGAGTCTTGCCAATAAACGCATTTTTGACATTTTAATGCATTTTAGGTATTCAGGAGAATATTAAAAATCTAATCATAAGTGCCCTATAATATAAATATTTGCCGGTATTCATGGTTGCTGGGGACATTTTTCGAAAAGTTGATTTGAATTTTTCTAACTAAAAGTTTTACTCAAGTTTAAGGAAGTTTTGTTATGGTTGTTATTTTATTTGCAATGTAAATATTGTAATAGCTTGCGAGATGATAATTATAAGAGTTTAAAATATGGATTAGTAGCAAGTTTACACTAAGAAATAATTTGCAAAATTTAAAAAAAAGATAATGTTTGGGAGCAACAGCAATAAAAAAATTGTTTTAAACATTTATTTCCGTACGTCCCAACTAAGCCCTAGTAATCCTTTAAACAGAAAAACATTCCTTCTAAAAACAAGCTCTACAATTATTTAGTTGTATATCAGAATAAAAATTTTATCAGGAGTAATATATTTACTGTCAACTGAACTCGATATGTAAATCAACCAGGCATTAATAATCTTCTTTTGTATATAAAACTGTTGTGTTAGTTTACTTTAATATTTACCATATTTTTCAGTTTAGTGTGGCAGGGAGCATTAAATGTCATTTTAAATTGCTTAAAATTACCTAGTAATACCATACGTAGATATTTCATGCCGCGCGTTTCCCAAAAAGTTGATTAATGTTCCCAATGTTTACGGAAAAGAGGAATATTCTGAATTTCATCTTCTCTGCTCTATGGAAAATTCGAAACAAAAGTCATCTATAATTTACGACCTACCCGTAGGACCCCAGCAGAATTTCCTTTGAGTGTAGTTATTGGTTCCGGTTCGATTTATTACCGATATTCTGCAATTTTTACGACAGGACTATTGAAGTGAGAGGAGGTAGAACATAAATATTCAGAACGTCATGTGCCGGTGCTGGATTTTTGCTGTGAAAAATTTTCACGGCAACTTATAAATATTTGAATAATTAAGTGAATTTTCGCAATTTCGGGATAGTCAAGTGTATGAATCAATATCAGGGAAGCGCAATAAATAAATTTGCTGTAATTCATGCTATTTTTTGAACCGAAATAAAACAGCTGCTCAGTTCTCGGCCAAACTCTACTGATGCAGAATTAAGAAGGTAAGCCTGCTTCTGCTGCGGAAGCATGAAGTGAATATATGGCTGAATTCTCTAAGATATCAGGAGAAACAAATTAAGTTTGGAGAGGTCTCCAGATTCTTCGTAGTGTTCGAATAGCAAATTAATATAACGTTCAAAAACATAAATTAGTGACTTTTTGTTAGTAATCGTAATACTGTTGTGTGAGCTATTACGAGAATTGTGGGGCTTTCGATCAATGGTTTGCCAATAAGAATACGATTTTTATTGTGGCAGAGCTTCTGCTAAGTGTCGACAATATGTTCCATTTGGGCCTATGAATACAATGCATTATTCATAAGCCCAAATGGAAAATATTGTCGACAATTAGCAGAAATTCTGCCACAAGAAAAATCGTATTATACTAATTAATACTAAACTTATGTGTTCTATATATATGTTTTGTGTTCTATTCATCCTCTATAAACTCTAATAACTCATAAACTTTCTTGAAATAATAAAAAATATTTTACCATTTGATATACATACCATGCCGTTTGATGCCATTTGATATCATAATTAGAAAAGCTATTAGCTCAGCTACCGCGACAAAAACTTTGCAAACGTCTGCAGAAATAGAATGAGTTGCCCCCAAGAGCAATTATTAGTCTTCATCTTCTTTTTCTTCTTAGTCAGCCCTCTATCATCCACTCCTGGACATAGGCCTGGTCATACTAATCTGTCTTATGCTGTTTGAGCCCACCTCTTTCCGACATGTTGATTAATGTCCTCGAGCCATCTTGTACGTGGAGTTCCTACGCTGCGCCTTGTCAGTCTTTGTTTTTATGCTAGCTTATATGTCCATCACGACTGATCTTGTTGTGCGGCAGGTCCAACCTACTGGCACTTCAATTTTGCAATACGTGCTTTCACAATTACGACTTCGGTTCTTCATCGGATTTTTTCGCTTCTTTTCCTGTCCCTAAGACTGATCTTAAGCATCGTTCTTGCCATCGTTCATTGCATTCCCCTTAGGTGATTTGTGGTCTTTTACGTCATTGCCATTGTTTGCAGACCATAAGTCGCTACTGGCAATATGCAAGTGCCTAAAACTCTTCTTTTAAGGACAGCCGAAACCATAGAGCATACAGTGATACATTGTACTCTACGGATTTTTCTATTAGTATTCTCATAGTTTGTAGATGGTCTATGGTACTGAAGCCCTTACGAAACCCCGCTTGGTCCACAAATTGGTAGTCATAGAACTTGGTGCTCATCCTACTGGTGATAATTTTGGTGAGTAACTTGTACACATTAGACAGAAGGCTGATTGGCCTGTAATTCTCAATACTACAGCTATCCCCATTTTTAAATAGCAAAATTGACGCTCTGGAAGTCATTTATTTAGAAGAGTCTGCAGAGGTCTTTCGATTTCTTTACCACCTAATTTTAGCATTTCGCAAATTTACGGTTTCTCATTTTTCTCAGAGCAGCCTTTGTTTCTTGTCGAGATATCGCTGGACTATTTTCGAATTCCACATTGCATACAGGTGCACCTTCATTTGCTAAAGCAGGTCTCATGGAAATATAAAGAATAGCATAAAATTTTTGGATGTGCTCAGCAATACTCTTGTTGTCCGAGACTACATTACCTTGTTCGTCATTTATTTAGATGATCTTCCGACTGCCTGGGGATAGTTTTGACCTTGAGACCCTTATGTTTGCGTTATTCTCAATGACGTTTTCGATAATTTTAGTGTTGTATGCTCGGATGTCTTTTCATACCTCTTTATGCATCCTTCTGTTCAACTCCTTATAAGCCGGTGTACTCCTGGAAGTGTTTCTCCTTTGTTACAGAATCCTCAAAGTGTCTGGACTCAACTTGGGACCACCCTTTGGTCTGGTCACAACTTGGGTTCCTTGGTTTCGAGCAAATTATCTTGACCGTAGTGTAGATATCATTGGTAATTTTGGTATTGACTGAACCCAACTTCCTTGTCAGTTCTTTTTGGTATTCATCTGTTCAGGTCAACCAACATTTCTCCTCTGTGATTTCTTGTACACAAACCAAAAGTTCCGATGTTATCAAAGTCAGTCGTGTTTCTTTGTCCTATCTTACATTTGAGGTCGCCACCTTGTAGTGGGTTTTACATGCATCAATCGCTTTCGATAAGTCCTCCAAAATGTTTCAATTTCCTCATCCTCTGCATTACTTGTTCGTGCATATCCGTGGATAAATCGTCTACTGTATCGTTTGCTGCGTTTAAGCACCATGTAAATGACCCTGTTAGAGGCCGATTTCATCTGTGTTATCAAATGTTCTAGATTTCGTTTGATGAGAAATGCTACACCGCCTTGATCCTTTTGTGTAGTGCGATTATTCCGATGAAGAATGTAAACCTGATTTCAGGACAGTGGTTTCCTCATCTGGTAGTCGTGTCTGAGGCCGCGGATATTGCAATTTATATGTTCAAGTTCTTCTTCTAAGCTGATGAGATGTTCGAGATCCCACATTGTCACATAGGGTTATCAGCCGTCGACTCTGGTTCAGACGAAGTTTATAGCCGCTCATTCTGAGTCAGCCACTACAGTGATGATTTTCGTCCTCCCCGAGGATTTTATTTCCGCGGTTTCACCCATATCTGGGAGGCATCCTCCTATCCGCTACCTGAGAAGGCGGAACCTTTTTGCCAATTAACTATCAGATTGAATCAAATAGAGAAAAAATAAGACAAGCTTAGAGCTCAGCTGTTGCGAAAAAAACTTTGGAAACGTGTTCGGAAATAGATTGGGTTGTCCACAGGAACGAGAATTAGTCTGCAAGTTTGGTATTGTTATAACCACAGTAAGTATTGGATTTATTCAATAAGAGAACTACTTATTGACTCTTACATATTTATATTCTCCAAAACAAACACTGTTTCCCATTCAAATTACTTGCGCGTGTTTTCTTTCATGTGAGATTTTGCAATTCCATCAGCCTCCATGCATATTTTTAACCATTCAACAACATATTTCAAATCGCTCAAAGTCTTAGGAAACAATGTTATTTCGCATGTTGTTCGACTATTTCTCGATGTTATTCACTCATGCCTAGTTATTTTATCTCAGCTTGCATTTAAGTTCCATTTTGTTAATTTGTTACTACATCGGTAGTTAGGCCAAAATAATTATGCTTCCAAACGTTGCAAGCAATACTCAAATTTATGCTCAGGTAGATCTAATTAG